TCTCTATCTCTATCTCTCTCTCTCTCTCTCTCTCTCTCTCTCTCTCTCTCTCTCTCTCTCTCTCAACAAACAATTATCTTACTTTGTTAGGTCGCTTGGTTGCTATGATAAAATCTTATTTAGTAGGTAGCCATAGGATATCGTAAATATTTAAATAGTCTTTTTATATTTGTCTTTGATTTATCTGTGTTCCACAAATCGTGGAAGGATAAATAAAAAAAGGACTATCTAACTACATTCCTCATCATGTAATATTTAAAAACATTATTTATGATGAAGCGGAATAGCAAAGTAGTCTAAATACTTGTTAGCAAGAAACAAAGTTCATATTCGTTTTATGCACCCCAAAAAATATCTGAATAAAATTTTTGGGAAACAATTTCTCTCAAATTTTTCGCATTCCGTTTTGTTAACCCCAAAAATAGAGATGCCTTTAAAACGACTCAACCGATCTAAGCAAATTCAGCTTTCCTACGGTCTTATTGTTGAATATTGAAAACTCTATAGAAGTTATGAAGTTTTAAGTCGACCAACAGGACATCGAGAGAAAAATCGCCCAAACCGAATACAATCCAAAAATGTCTATTTTCTTATTTCGATCAAAATTCGTTTGGTTGCATATTTCGTGATTTAAAGCAGTTAATAAACGTTGTTTTGAAATGTGAAGAATTGGATTTTTTTATCGCCCCAAGAGGGATTCGGAAGAAAAGCAAATCATACTAATGATCGTCTTCCTAATCATCCTCTCCTAGATATCCGTCTATATCTCTGTCACCGCCCCCAATCTAGGACATGCATATTAATGATTTCGTTTCTATTGGATAGTTGACAACCTGAAGTACAAACAAAAAGCTAGCATGTTAGGATATCGACGTGGTACACATATAAAAGCAGAGAGTAAGTTACCAGATCGAGCCAAATGGTTGCAGTTTAAACAAATAGTCGTGAAAGACCAGACCACACAGCACAGACAGCTGTTTGTCGGCCCAAAAACCTCCCACATTATTATTAGTATTTTCGACCACTAGGACCCATCGGCAACTACGCAAAAACGTTTCGTTACAATCTGTGATCCTAGGTCCTTGTAGGTATTATTCATTTGTAAACTTTTATTGGTATTTAAGAGCTTTACAATATTTTTTTTTAATTTAAAACACAATTTTTTATGCAAAGCTTCTTAATGTAAAGATGGCGTATAGAGGTTATTTTTCAATCATTCAAGAACAATCTGGTCCTGATGAAATTTCATCATCAAACCTAACAGAATGTTACATGTTTATGCTTTATCTTCATGCATATTAATGAACCAAGTTTGATTATTGAGCCAAGGCGAACTTCGCTTATGTTAACGTTGTACTCGACAATAAAGTTTAAAAAATCGATTACACCTTGAGATCTAGCGACGACCCTTGATATTGCACCAAACTACCAGTTTATTATAAGTTTTATTTATTATTATTTCTTTTTTATATTTCAAGCCATTTGGTTTCTTGATAGATTGTTACATAAAAGTACTTATTACTCAATCATACTTGTGTCTGTTTACAACGTTTTGCACCTTAATCATTAGAGAATATATTTCCTTCTTTCCAAAGATATTGTGATTGCACATTATTGTAAAAATAAAGTGTTCAACAGAGAAATAATTATCATAACTACACTGTTAAAAAACAAAACATGCCCTTTATTTTTAAATGAAAGTTTAAAAATCTATTTAAGGACGTAATGAGTGCTTTTCTAAGTAAAGAAAGTTCTGACCGAATTTCAGGTGGGCCCAAGGTACACATGCTCTTGCGGTTCCCGCCGCGAGTAATTCAGTTGTGGTCCAGAATCCTCCTTAAGAGCCTGTGAATTGATAAAATTAAGATACCGAAAAGGAAATTAAATTCAACCCTCGTGGCGCTCAGCTTCTCAAATGGATCCTACATTAATTAATGTTCACTTCCTCGACGTCCCTTGTTAAAACTAAATTATGAGGATTAGCGATAATCAAATACATAATGAATAAATTCAATGGAAACCGTTAGCAGTTAAATTTTACTGATATTTAACTAGTTTATAACAGTATTTATCTTAACTTTGGGAATCTAGAAGTATAAGCGTAAATACTGTTTATTCAGCGTTAAAAATCCAATCCATTACCCTTTTGCCCATTGTGGGCAAAATACTGGAAAAGCTCGTATTGATACGCCTGTCCAAGGAAATAGCAAGAAAGCAATATTCCCTTGGTGTATTCTTGAATATACGCCAAGCCTTTGACCAGGTATGGCACTCTGGACTATTATGGAAGCTCAAGAACATGCTACCTACAAACTATCAACTTATCGTAAGATCCTATCTTAACGATCGTTATTTCCAAGTATACCACAAAACTTCATCTCCTATACATCCGAATGGAGGAAGTGTCCCAGCTCCTCTGCTTTGTTCAATCTATAACTCTGGCCTACAAACGCAATCCTTTCTCCTAAAAAAGCTCCAATTATAGCTTCTCGTCATCTTCAAAATCCCTTCATATCCGCCAATCCTGGCTACGACAATGGAGAATCAATGGTAATTGGCCATATGAACTAGTATATTAGCCAGAGTACGTAGTTGATTGTTGCATCATATATGTAGTTGGGAGAAGGGTAGCGTGAAAAAATGGCCTGGGGCGACGGTGAGAATCAAGCCCACGTCCGCGGGGTCTACGAGCCGAGTCTGTCACGCTGGCTACTGCGGTCCCCCATAAACTATACGGTTTATCATGCTATAACAACTGCTCAACCCACGATCTAAACTCACACTGACAAAAAACTCTATACTGCCCTGTTAGCCCCCATTTGGACATACGGACTTGAACTGTACGGGACTGTTAAGCGTTCCAACTTAAATCGATTCCAATCCCTACAATCTAAAAACCTTAGAACAATAGTCAATGCCCCTTTCTATGTTTCCAATCACACCATCCATACCGACCAATGACTCTTCTTACTCATCTGGCCCAATCCCGCTAAAAAAAAAGGTTGCATTACAAACTATTCCATCATTCGAACCTATTCGTCAAAACCTCTCATCCACCACGTTACATAAAATCCCTCATAGGAGACTGAAGCGTCGGTGGCCCCGTGACAACCTCATTACTTGACATCGGTCTCCTAGGATTGAGCCATCTCATTCATCACGTTGACGTAATAACGTCTTCCATCACTGGATGGTTGCTGTTCATGTTTCATGAAGAGGTGGTAGTCTGAACAAGCAAGGACAGAGTCGTAGAGTGGGTGTGGTAGAAGCTTCTCAATTCATTTAGAAACGACCTTGTTTGTAAATAAAGATGTGCTAAAATAAAACTGTTTTTACATTCAACAAAACAGAGTCAATTTTCTTCTTCGTTGTGATAAATTTAAAAAATTAATAGTGTATCACTTGGATTTTGAAAGAGAAACCGGCATGGTTCCAAGTTCAATGTTTGCTGTTCCTAAGCTCGTCTGGAATTTCTTACGGTTTTAAGTTAAAGAAGTAAGGTATTGCTCGAAAGAGGGGGTAGTTTATAGAAACAGTTCTAGGACTATAAACTTAGTCCCACCCAACTGGGTGCGAAATAAGCTCCCCGACCAGTTTTTTAGATGTAAATGGGAAAAAAGTCACCTTATTATAATTATAATAAAAACTCCCTTAAAGGACTAAGCAATTTTTCGTAGTAGTCTGAAAGAGCACGGGTAGGTGCAGTAGAAGTTCCTTGATCCTAATCATTTTAAATTTTTTTCTTGTATTATCGACAGTCAGCATGTCTTCACTGTTTAGGACAGAACAACAGAATCGCAGCGAGGAATAGCAGACCAAAATGATCGGTAACGACACCCCAAAGACCTTGCCGGACATGCTCCTGCGCTGGACTCTTGTGGGAGTAAATTTCATAAACATACTTTCCACTTTCCAAATCAAAAAGCTTTCAGAAATAGATGGGGTAGAACCTCCTATCGAAACTCCTTCACTCTTTTCTGGCCTTGATTCTTCAGGCCACACCTTTTTGATGCAGGCCAGGACCAAACTACAAGTTCATCACTCCTCAGATCCAATGAGAATAGATGTGTTACAATGTACAAAACGGTTTTCTCTTAAGTAAGTAAGTAATTGATCGTGAGTGGTAGTAGTCTGAAGGAGAAAGGTCAGGACAGTAGGGTGGGTGCCGTAGAAACTGCTCTATTTCATCCATTTCAGAATTTTTTGTTTTATATGTCAAGAAAGGTTTGTCTGCGTTTCCCTTCTTAAAATTTCCATTCATAACGTCCGATAACGACTCTTCTAGATTTCTAATGATGTTTCGTTCGATTAAATGAGTATCTCTTGGATTTTGAAGAACCCACCGCTATGTTTCCATGTTAAGTTATATGCTTGCAGTTCCCAAGATAGTGTAGAACTGGAATTTATTAAATTTATTAAATATTTTATTAATTTTTTTATGTTAGAACTGGATTTTATTCCAGTCTCTGAAAGATTTTTGTTTATAGATGGTGGCAGTCAAATAGCTCATAAGTGGTCAAACTATGGTAGTTTGAAAAAGCAAGATCTGAATGAACTAAAGACGATTTTTGCTTGGTCGAGAAGAGTGAGTCATAGTTGGATCATCGTCACAAAACTTTCTCATATTCAACAAAACCTGGTATCGCCTTTTGTTTAAACTTTATAACTTCGATTTTGAGGACCCAACTAAAACGCTTCCTTGAGATCAGTTAACTGTGCCTAGGACCATGGTAAATTTATCAACATGCTCTTTCCACTTTTCCTAACACGTTTAAGAATCAGTTCACGATTAATAATCTAGTTTAAATTTACAGGCCTGATTTCGATTCCTAAGTAAAATTTCTTTGATAATTTCGCGAAATTAATATAATATCAAGCTGACCTTCATTTAACTAAAACAATATATACGTTCTGAAGATAAAATTGTTTGTAAAAAGGTTCGTACACAGCTGAACTAATTCTACAAATGAAAGAAAAGTTGAAAATAATCATCTACTTACCCCATTCTTTCGTCGGAGAAGCGATGCAGGCGGACTTGGCCTGGGACGTAGTCGGTCACCCACAATATCTCCCTAAATAAGAAATACTTTAGAAATTATTTCATCAAAAATCTTAATGAATATATTTTTTTCCAAAATAGAATAATTCATAAAGTTGAAGGTAGTTATTAATAAAAATAACAGACAATAGATAATGGTTTATTAATTAACCGCTCCCTAAACATAATAAATTTAACAACATAAAAAAGAGAATTATTTTTGTTTCGACCATGATTTATGTAAGAATACCGGCGGAATGCATATGTGAAAAGCCATTACTCAGTAATGATTAATTTTTATTCATTTACACAACGATTTTAAAACCCAACGCTCCAAATTTACTTTATGGAATCAAAATTTGGAGTACTTGCCTGAACTGATGGTTAAAATCATGACTCACGCCGGTTACCCTTTACTATCTCCGGGACTACATTTCACATCGACCTGGTCTGACCTGACAAATTTTGCCCTTTGAAGGCCCTAATCTTTCTTCCCTTTTTTTTAAATAAATCATCCTTTTACGCCGTATAAATCAAAGGTAATCATCGAAACTTCTTAAGCCGTTGAATTGAAAAAGTGAACGTTGTCTTTTTTTCTGAATATATAGAGATTTAGAAGTTATAAACAGATCTATCTCACTCTCAAGACTTAAACAGGCGTAGTACTCACGATTGAAAGAGATCCTAAGGTATATTTTTGTATTTTCTTAGAAGAAACTAAGAAATAAGAAGAAGGGGAGGCTACGGACTTTGGGTGATACTAGGTCGAAAAATATTACACATGTCCAAGTTCGTTCCAAGTCGTTCACGCCAATAAGTCACAAGAGCCAAGTAAAAATAATATTTGAACTAGTTTACATTTTTTAATATAGTCATCTTATTTTGTTGTTTATATCGCATTAAATAAAATTTGGTATATAAAACGTTGCAAAGCCAAAAAACGCCTACTAGTAAAGTAGGTCGAATAAGATCGTTTTGAAAAAACCCAATTCGTTTTAAGCACCCCTTAAAGCTTTTAAATACAAATTGTTATAACTAACAAAAAGTAGACATTTCTTGGATGGATTCACCGGGTCAATTTTTTTTTCTCTCGTCGATGCCTTCCTCTTACAAATTCATGATACACTTTTGTCTAAATTCAACATATTGAAACCATTAGAAAACATGAATTTTCTTCCTTGAATCTACCTGAACAAGGTTTTAAGTCGAGAAGATCAAGGCAGATGCCTTGGCCAACGACGTACGTAACGTCTGTACCGCGCTCAACCATCCAAAATGGTCTCAAGCGGTTTAAGATTATCGGAAGTCTCGAGGAGGTAGTGGCCGACCACGATGGACGACGGCTAGAGACGATCGTTTTCTTGCTCGTACCCGGCTACGGAACCGCAATTTAACGGGTTCTTCGATAGGTAGTCAACTCGAAACGGTCCGAAATGTAAGGATGAGCTCTAATGTAGTCATCACAAGGCTTCATGAGAATAGCCTAATCTCTAGACGTCCCACATCAGGTTCTCAACTACTAGAGATGCATCGAGTAGAAAGGCAACAATTCGCAAATCTCGTTTGGGTACAATGGACTTGTCCAATGTAGGAGGGGGGGGGGTTGTTCTCTTCTGTTCTCTTCACAGATGAGTGCCGGTTTAGTTTGCAGCAATCAGATAACCGGGACCGTATTAAGAGAAGACGTGGAGAACGCTTTCCTTCAAGTGTCCTGCGTTAAGACAGTTATGGCATAGGGTGGAATGAAAGTCGATGCCCGTACCTAACTAATTATGGTATAGAATGGAACTTTGACTATACTAAGGTACATTGAGGAAATTCTTCTGGGTGCTTTGAGCCCGTTTGCTCCATTTATTGGGGACAACTTTGTGTTAATGCGTGATAATGCACGGCCGCATGTAGCCCGAGTTGTCACCCATTACTTGGGGGGTGCAGGGATTACCATAATGAATTGGCCAGCACTTTCTCCAGACATGAATCCTCTGGAACATGATAAAGGGACAAGTTAGACATCCTTTGCCGAATGGGATTCTGTGTCACAAGACAAAATCCGATCACTTTTGTATTCGATGCCTATAAGACTTAACAGAAATTAATACGCATAAAAAAGATCAAAATTAGGCAATAAATTAGCTAAATTTTAATTTATCACTAAATGATTTTGCGATGTTTTAGTGTACTTTTTCAAACTATCATAATTACATTATTTTTATTAAAACTCATGAATTTATATATCTCGTTTCATATCGTTTACGTTAAAATAATTATGTTTTAATTAACATAACGATAACAACACATATAGTTTGAAAAAACAACAGTACGATTGTCCGGGATTTTGTCATTGAGTCCTTGATCACATACGTTGTCTGTTCCAAAGTGTCTCAATGTTATTTTTCTAAACCAATAGGTTGCAAACACTATTAAGAAATCTACTGAGAATTGAATTTTGAATGAAAAGACGTGGCGAAGAGGGGTAGAAATATATAATAAACGTTGAATTTATTAATTGTGATTTGGCGATTTATAAATTTGCAAGTTTATGTATATTTGAACCGAGTTTCTTATATATTTAAAAGCGTTTCCTTTCTCCTTGCTCCGCTTCGAAAAGAACCTGAATAAATCACGTAAGGAACCTTTTTCTCTCCGCCTTCTCCTTGTATAAGTGGGAGCAGTAAATTTCTATTAGCTGAAGCGGCTGGCAAAAATTCTCACTAATACAGGCTAATTTTTTTTCCGGTTGGTCCTCCCTGTTTTCCAGAATTAGAAGAAAATCATCATGGTAAGCTACGAAGTTCGCGTGGCCTAGAAGAAAAAGACTTTCTGTAAAAAGTTGAACTCTAAAGACCAATTTACCAACTCAGAATACTTTGCAATTCTGGTTGAACGTTGGGTCCGGCAAGTCAACCAATATATAATAAAATGAGATTAAATCCTTCAACCTGTTTTCTTTTATATACAACCAGTAGATTGGATTTCAACTTATGATTGTGGCATTACGGGCGTAATAGAGAAAGCCCATTGGCAGCCGCTCTTTAATAATAAACAAAATGATATTAATCATTTAACAGGTTCTTATCCATATTCTTTTCAGTCTCTGACGTGAAGCAAACGGGACCGCAGCATCCAAATTGTGCAGGCTAAAACCACCTCACTCTTCCAATCAATTTATTAATTATTCATGTTCAAATTATTAGTATTGAAATCTACAGTCAATATAGGACGCTTAAGCGTAGACAGGTTTTAAGCCTGAATATATTATTTTTGTTATTTAAGTGTTTTATAATTTAAAAAATAATATACAATTAATTAAGGTTTTTAGTCGAGATAAAAAAGTCAATGGCAAGAGCGGGATTCGAACACACGATCTTCGGCTAGATACGCCGCTGCTCTACCACTTGAGCTATCGTGACCTCGATCCACTCGGACACCAACTTCCCATCTCAACCATAATTGAATTTAATAAAAAATAATGTGGCCATTACGTAAACATGACAAAAACGTGGATAGTGGATTCAATAGAAATTTCGTATTACACGATACAATAGAAGGAGAGTTAGAAGTTAGAGTGTGTGCGTTAGACATTTTTGTTTTTCATAATAGTATGACCGGAATTTTTTAGATTTAATCTAATATACATTAAAAATCAGATTGTTATTCCTCACATTTTACATTAATTGCTGTTCTAGTTTGCTGTTCTGTTGGAAGAGAATATTTTACTGATGTAATTGATGTAGGCTTGCTGTTTTGAGTAGTAGGATTTGTGACAAAACAACTATTTAGTTGATCAGAAATTAAAGTAAAGCAATGCTCCGAAAAAGGGCAGCTTTCTCCACCCTCCTTCGTAACAAGACAATTCCAGCTCCTAATTTCCTGCAGTACGCAACCAAATACAATTTGCCAGAAGTGGGAGTAGCCGGCTGGGATATAGGACAGGGAGTCGAGGAGGGAGCCAAAGGGGATGGTGGTATTAACTTGGGACAACTGCCCCGAACGCAAACAACCATTTCCACCACCCGACAGCTAACAAGCAAATTGATTTCATCAGTGCGGTTGCCTTCGACAATCGACTCACAACGGGTTACATTTGTCAATACTTCATCAATACGTAAAAGTTACCGACGGCCGATATAAAAATTGGAGTATTCAGACTTCACGATTTAAAATTTATGTCATTTTTCAAATGATGTTTTACTTTTTACGTCAAGTATAAAGTTTATTTAAAACGCAAAAGGGTTAAACCAACTTGTCAACAATATTCTCAATATAGTATATTTACTAAATTTCTCTGAAATTCAATACGAGAATATTATAAATAAGTAAATTTTCGGCATTTTCTTTTAAGAATTGTTCAAAATCAACGAAAAAACACGACGAACAATTCTGAAGAGAGCACGTACCTTCGATGTAGTTCTTGGTTTAAGTGGGAAACGACCAAACTTACAGGTTCATCACTCCACAAACAGCAAGAGTTTATATTTTCTGTACTGTGTGCTCATTTTCGTCACGATAATCATGACATGTTGACGTACCCCTCTAGTAGTCCATGAATTGCCTCGAGATCCATTCATACTGTACGAGATTATATTAAATGCTCAAGAATCCTTTGAATGTATCAATATAAAAAAATTTAAAGAATCTTTAGATTTACCCAACCACTGAAGATGGTGGGAAATTGAAAGGAATCAACAGCAGTGAGGACAAACCAAAACTGCGGGGATAGCTTAAGCAGAATGATGAGCAACGACCAAACTTACAGGTTCATCATCCCAAAGATCCCAAGAGAAAATTTATATTTTCTGTCGTTTTTAAGGTTTACATTTTTGTTTAATGGCAAACATAATCAGTTAGAACAAGTACCCTCGTAGTAGTTCATGAATTAAGTGATAATCCCATAATCCATTCTTACTGTACACGATTGTATAAAATGCCCAAGAGTCCGTCGAATTTGTCAATAAGAAAAAACAAATTCAACAAATCTTTAAATAGACCCACCACTGAAGATGGCGGGAATCCGAAACATCTCAGATAGAGCAA